TATGTATATGTATATGTATGTATGTATATATATATATATATATATATATATATATATATATATATATATATATATATGTATATATGTATATCGCTCAGCATTAATGCATTAAAGGTGTCTTCCCAGATGCTACCCAAACCATGGGCACTAATGCACCCCCACACACCATCATTGATGCTGCCTTTTGGACTGTCCAGTGATAGCAAGCTGGGTGGTCCCTCTCCTCTTTAGCCCAGAGGATGCAGCATCCATGATTTCCAAAAAGATTCTGCAATTTTGATTCATCACACCACTGGACAGTTTTCCATTTTGCCTCCTTAAATGAGCTCAGCCCCAAAGAGGTCAGCAGCATTCCTGGATCATGTTTAGATATGATTTCTTCTTTGCGTGGTAGTTTTATCCTGCATTTGTGAATGCATTGATGAATTGTGTTCACAAACAGTAGTTTTCAGATGTGTTCCTGAGCCCATGCAGTGATTTCCACTGTAGAATCGTGTCTGTTTTTAATGCAGTGTCACCTGAGGACCCGAAAATCACGACTATCCAATATTGGTTTTCAGCTTGTCTCTTGCATACAAAGATTTCTCTGAATCTTTTAATGATATCATGTACCATGAAATCAATGAAAGATGAAAAAAATCCCAAATTTACACTGAGGAACATTATTCTTAAATTGTTGCACTCTTTGCCCACACAGTCTTTCACAGAGTGGTGAACTTCTCCCCATCTTCACTGCACAGAGACTCTGCCGCTCTGGGAGGCTCTTTTTATACCCAATCATCTTACTGGCCTATTGCCACTTAACCTAATTAGTTATGAGATTTTCAACCAGGTGTTTTGTTTTAGCATTACACAACTTTTCTAGTCTTTTGTTGCCCCGTCTCAACTTTTTTGAAACATGTTATGGACATCAAATTCAAATTGAAGATATATTTGTCCTAAAACAATTACATTTCTCAGTTTCAACATTTGATTTGTTATCTTTGTGCTACTTTCAATTAAATATGGGTTTATATGCTTAGCAAATCATTGCGTTCTGTTATCATTTACATTTTACACAGCATCCCAACTTTTTTGGAAACGGGGTTGTAAGAACAGAAATAATATCGAGCCAGCACACATGTTTTTTCCTGTATTACATAACTGATGTGCTGTTACCTTTAACACCAGTAGTGTGAGCAGCAGGGCAGAGAGCTGACAGCTCAATTGGGCCAGCTGAGCTGCGTCATGGAGGCTGACGAAGGTCCGGGGCTGCTTGCGAAGATGGGAGAGGCGGGATGCCGCCACGTGGAGGAAGGAGAGCCGCAGTGCGGCACTGCCCAGGGAGAGCAGGGACACGAGGAGCTGGAGGCAATGCCTGAAATCCCTAAAGTACCGGCTCTTCTCCTTGACCATTGCCCAGAGCTCACTGCCCAGGAAGGACAGAGCAAACAGCAGCAGCAGAACCTGATGGCGGGAACAGTCTTAAACCAAGCCTTGCTGGGGTATCAACCAACCCGTTCAAGTTTGTAGCTATCCTCAAAATGTGTCCCTGGTTCTTACCGTAGTAGCAATGTGCAAGTCAGGGCCCAAAGAAGATGCCGGCATGTGAAAAGGCTGTATCGAGATAAAAGTGGTCTCTGTTTGTGCCCACTGGATCATTACAGTCACAGAGACAAAGAGCGAAGTTTCCCTGTGGTGCTGTGTGAACTTCACAGACATCGACTGGGTCCTGGCAAACAATGAAATCTTATTACTATCATTTGCATCATTACTGTAATATACATTGTTAAAAGAAATATACATTATTATGCATGTATACATTTAGACAGCTCACACTGGCAGGATACATTAAATCACAGATTTCAGAATTAAATGTGTAGCCTAAGTAAATGTCAGTCTTTATATAGATAATGGTATACAAGACTTAAAATGGCACCAAAACATTATCATGAACAACACAATCTTTAAAGTTGCTTAAATTGTGAGATTTTTTTTTTTTACAGTTATCCCATTAGGCGAATTTATGAAACGCGACTTACGCAGAATTGATGAAGCTGCCCCCCTGCAGGTCGGACAGGAGCTGGCGTGTGTCCCCAGTGCTGCTTCCCAAATCCACGCTCTCTTCCCCTCTGCGCCCCATATCACTGCGCCACCTTGGCCACAGCCTGTGTGAGTTGACCAGAAGTCTAACTCTGGTTGCACAATAGCTTTCCAGTAGCATAATGATTAAGAACAAAAAGTGGCAGATTCACATGTCATTACAAGAATGACCGACATCGATCCATGCCATAGCATCGTTAGTCAATGCACTTTATCTAAATTAATTCAGTTAAATAAGTTTATGTTCCTTTTGGGGAAGGTAAGATGAAGGTTTCCATGTGCATCATTTTTTTTCTACAAACTGAACACAATACACAGACCCTTTAGCACACATAAATATTCTTTTATTGTCTAATGCAGAGCACTGAGTGCCAGAAGATCTCAAAGTGGTGTCCTACCAGGAAAAAAAGTGTTCAGATGAGCTATTGTTGGCTGAGGTTCTGAGATCCATAGATGGGATGTGTGAGGTCAAATTTTGTTCTCCATAAGACCTGACCATAGTACAACAGACTAGGGAGAAAGAAATATTAGCTGATAAGTTAGAAAAGATCAATGTGAACTCAAACCTATTACATTTTTTGCAACATGTTCCTTGAAAAGTTTAAACTCATAACTGGTTTTTGAGGAGAATCAAAGGGCTTACTTCCCGGGACCTGTACTCTTTGCAGCCGTGGTAACCCCACTAAGGAGAGCGATGGGTTTTCGTGGATGTATGCAGTGAGACTCCTGTCCATCCACTGCCAGACCTCAGTCCACCTGCACACATCAACGTGGATCAGTGGAAGTTAGGAGTCTAAAGCAAACAGAGTCTGCTGGAACGGGCCCTCATACTGCAGTACTGTCTGCCTGGGGGTAGCAGTGTGAACGGTCTACAGTATGTCCACATGTACATCTTCAGCATCATGATGAAGTGCCAGTCTCACCCTGCCAGTTTGCTGAGCTTTGGGGACCCTGGTGGAGCTGCGACTATCCAGTGCTTAACTGCAGAATGCAGTAGCCTGACTTGTGCATCATGGACGCTGCTCTGGTAATTCACCAGCAGGACAACCAAGAGGAACAGCACATGCACCACACAGCTCTGGACAGTGGGGAGAAGAGAGAGACAAGAATGGATTTCAGTCATGAATGCTGGGTTCAAAGAAATGGCTCCACAAGGATGCCCAAAAATGTAATGTAAGATAAAGCATGTGTGTATGTGAGCTTTATCCCAGTGAGAAAAGACTGGGAAATTTTCACATAGCCCATTTTGCTCTCCATGCATAATTTAGAGCAAGGTTTGGGGTCCAAGTGAAGGATCTAGCAGCATTCGGCACCCTGGCGCAATTGGAGCTAAAGGTCTTTCTGCAAGACCCAGCAGTGGTCTCACTTCATCAGCCACGGGATCTGAAGATGATACAGTAAGCGCGCTGCAGTCACGTCCTCCAAGATGGCTTTACCTTCATCAGTGACCGCAGCACCCTCACTTTTCGGGCCTCCTCCTTGGCATGCAGGAGGCCATATCCACATGGGGGCCGCACCCTGCCCCCCTGTGCCACACACACTTTCTGCACTATGGCCTCCTGTGCCAGGCGCTCCTCCACCTCTGGGTCCACTGGTCTCACCACAATTGCCATGAAGAGAGCCTGAACAAACACCTTAGCAGACAACACTGTCAGAGTTAATCTGGATTCCAAGCAGGTGCTTTAATCCAAAGTGTATAGAACATCCCAAATCTGGCACTTTTTCAGTTTATATGGTTCTTACTATAGAAAGCCATTTAAAGTACCTTCCTCAAGCATACCACACCAAGACCCCATAGAGTGTGAACCAGTGAATTTTGGCCAAAAGTCCAGCTCCTTTACAGCTGTACAAACTGGCTACCATTCACATTGCAGATGTTTGTCCATTTTGGCACACGCACTTGAGGAAGCAGGGTCAGCCAGTACCTGGCTAAACTTGCTCAAGGACCCAACAGTGAAATCACTCTGCCCACCACAGGATTTGAACTGGCAACCTTCTGCCCATTGGTGCAGAGGCTTAACCCACAGAGCCACACCCCCCAGTATCCCAGTAGTCATATTACATGACAATATTAGTGAGAAATGTACCTCTACATCCAAGCTGTAACCATCAGTTATCTGTTCAGAATGTTCTAGCATTAGCTGCCGATTTGTACCTTAAGGGGTTCCAACAGCAGGACGGAGGTCAGGAATGCAGAGGAGGCTGAAATGAGCCACATGAGCAGGACTGATTCGGAGAAGCTGCTACCGTAGAGCCCGACCACAGCCAGGCTGAGCCCCAATACCAGCCCGATTAGGAGGTAAATTACTTTCAGCATCCAGGAGGGGAGACACCAGCAGGGGGCGCTACGAGCAACACCTGTAGTAGTACAAAGCCACCAGGGATTTCTTTAAAACGTCATAATCTCTCTGTTTTGTGTGTGCGCTGCATATCAGGGCAGCAGAGGTACCAGGATGAAATAGTGGCCAGTTTTGTTGGGTCATGGCTCACCTATGCGTGTGGCGGAAGAGGTGTCCAGGGAATCTGGAGATGGGCTGGGCAGGAAGGTGCTGGCCGTGCTGAACACCGACAGGGAAGAGGCCGACCTGTAGAGCCCCACTCCAAGCGAATCGTTTGTCCGGCTCGTTTGTGACCAGCCACTGCAGAAGCTGTCCTGCCTGGAAGAAGCAAAAGCGGCAGCATCCCTTATCGTATGCTAGTTATGTAGTGATGTTTTTTACCAAAGCAGTTCAGATTACCTGTCGTGCACAATAATATGACAGCAGGAAAACAGAAAAGAAACAGAAAAAACTGTTTCTTAACTTTCCCATTTGAGATGTAAAGAGTATTACATGTAAAGTATTTCCTCATTTATATAGTAATGTTATACATTGTATATTTTATACATTTTTTACTGCTGATAGGTTACATAAACAAGGTCTTGTTATGTAAACTCACATTGTACCTGGAGTATGGCCAAGGTTGTGCCAGGGTTTGCAAATGCCAACCAAAATATCAGCTTGGACACCCAAACCAAATGCCCCCCCGCCACCCAATTGGCAAATTTTATTGTCAGACTTAGAGTGACAACCGCTTACAACAATGTAACACTGATCATAGGCTCATAGACTTGCCCTCTAAGAAATTACCATACTTTTTTTCTTTGTGCTTGAGTTCTTGCACACCTCATTTTTCCACGGCACACACAAAGTCTAAGCCATGGGACTCAGACTCTGATCCTGGGGAGCCAGAGCCCTGGTTAGCTCAGTTCCTTCCCTGTTCCACCGCAAATGATTCAGCTTGAGAGCTGTATGGTAATTAGCACAGGATGTTGAATCAGGTGTGTTAAATGAGGGTAAACTAAAAACAGGGCTGGAGTTTGACACCCCAGTGCAGGGCTCCGGCCCCCAGGGCTGGAGTTTGACACCCCAGGTCTAAGCCATTGGCATGGATGTTTTTTGGCCGTAGCATCTCCACTTTTCTCCACCCTTATCAATCGGTGTGTCCTCACGTGTCAGACAGCACCGTCTTGCAGGCTGTACTGGGGCTACAATCAGTCGTCACTCTTCCTGAGGACGAACTGCTGAGTTTGGAGTCTGCAGATAAAGACTTGATAAGATCCTGCTCTGTGGGCCAAAGATGAAGAAGGAAAAAAAAAACATTTCAGAGACCACTGGGAGTTTTAGCTACTGCCAACACACAGTTACACTTTTAGAAGCTGTTACAGGTTTGTTCACCGGAAGAGTTTTTTTTTTTTTTGATATTTCAGTTGCTTCAAATGAACGAGCAAGTGAATGAGTGGGGGGGGACACGCTTGATTTTCTGCGAGATGCCTCACCGGACAGTGTGGTGGGGAGGGCTTCGCTGGTTAGGGAGGGGGATGCAGTCTGCTGCATGGACCCAGCTGGAGATCCCAGTTGCAGCTGCAGCTGCGCCTTCTTCCTTTTCAGCAAACGGGCTGGACTCAGCACCGGCTCCTCAAGGAGCTCTGGCAAGTCAGACATGCTGCAACTGGAGGCCCACTGCTCCTCTGTGCTGGAAGCAGACGGTTTTCGAGAGGGACACTAATGCGCATCAGTGCACCGAAGCAATAAGTGACATTCTCAGTACTTGGAATCTCTTTTGGACAGCGATGTGCCACTGTCTAATCCTTGACGAGAAAACAACAAATGTGAATGCCAAATATTAATATTAGAAGGCACATCAAAATCACTGGGACACAATCATTAAAAAAAAGACTAAATTAAATTATGTTAGAGGGCAATACAGTAAACAAGGTACACATGGAATCACATTACATTTCATTGCTTAGTTTGGAGGCGTTCCAGAAGTCTGATTCTATCTTCTTGCTTCCAAGAAATTCCTAGGAGAGATGAAATAAAATGAAATAAAAGTGTTGCATTCTGGCACAGAACAGAAGCTAACGCAATACCCATTTGGCCATTAAGTATTCAAAATGTGCTTTGGAGTAAGAAAAGGATTATTTATATCCCAAGGAGGTAAAAGACACAAAGTTATCTTTCGTTTTGTGCCTGTTGGAGTGACAAGGTGAACAGAAGATCTGGACAGAGCTCTTACTCCATCCGATCCTCCATATGTGATGGAGTCAAGGCCCCGGGGTAGCGATAGGAAAGAAGAGCCGGTGATATTTGATTGGTCCAGGTAAACGTCCATTTCCACGGTCTGAGACGCTGGGGTCGGCGGTGCTGTTTCCTCGAGCGTCACCTGGGAAACAGCCACAACAAACCCATGCACTTACCAGCATTCTCAGAAAAGCACTTAAAAGCAGTACACGGTATATTATCACAGAGATATAGCACCAAATAATCAGAAAAACCCACAGACGGACAAGTAATTGGATTGATAATACTGTGTGAATAAGGTTGAGATTAGTCAGTTCAAAACATGAGCCGATGAAATACCTTGCTGCACGTGTTTCGGAACAGAAAGCAGAATAGCAGCTGAAGGGGAAACACAAAGACGGCCACTGTCATCCCCATCGCCAGCGTCTCAGCATTCACTGGCACGTGGTCGGAGACGGGAGTGCTGCCGGACACAATTCAAACACGCTCTTCAAACACGGCCCATCGTGAAGGTCTCGTATTCCGCTTAGCCACAGCAAATTTCCACTGCCCTGAAACGTCTGAAGCAGCCCGTATCCAGAAGGTGCCCGGAGCTCACCGCGTCTCACTGCTGCCGGCGGCCCCGTACCAGACGGCGGCTGCGGCCAGGTACAGGTGGAGAAGGAGGGCACAGCAGGTCACCCTCTGAGCGCGGGTGAAATTGCTGTGCGCGGGGCGCTCCCACACCGAGGCCCAGATGTGCCTCTCCATCATACCGTGCATCAGCTGCGCTCGCAGAATCCGCCAGAACCGCTGCAGTTCCTGCGGGCCTGTCGTGATCGGGATGATTATAAGGAACATGCAAACGAACAGACCATTACTGCGCAAATATTTCATGTCTTCTTTGGTGCATTGTCAGTCAGTGATGGGAAATATCTCACAAGGCCAACAGGTTTGTGTATTGTGGAAAATGTATGTCAGCCAAACGTCGGGTGACCTTCTGAGACGGTCCTTACAAGATGCCAGCACTTCCTTTTCCACCAACCCTCCATTCTTCTCATTCTCCACAGAGAGCCAGTCCTCCACCAGGAAAAAGAACATGTTGTCTGTTTGCCTGTCCCAAACAATCACATGCTGCAGGTACCAAGATGGGTCCAATCCTGAAATACACATACAATTACAAGTCATTTACTTCTAAACAGGTACTTTTTTCTTGTATGTCTCTTTCTGTTTAGCATAATTAAATATTTGTAAATCAAGTCAGATAAAAACAAAAATAAATTTTCTCAATTAATCATTTGAAGCCAACGACAAGGGAGTGTAGTTAAATTAAATATTTACATTCTAGTTGTTTTCACACCTAAGGTGATTCTGAAGACCTGCAAGGCTGTTTGTGGTTTATCCGGCCTCGTTGACTGATTTTTAATACACGTTTGTTTACAGCTTGGATCTTTAGCTGACCCTCTTTTAAACATTCGCATAGCAGTACATTGTACTGATGCTTTGGGTCAGACAAGTGAGTCACTGAGGAAGAATCTTTGAAGCTGTGTACCTCTGAAAATAAAACTGGCAGCTTAAAAAAAGCATATTTTAATGTAATATGTTCCCATATATGTTATAAAATTAAAAGGGTAATTACACAGGCCCCAACCAAAGAACACCTGTATTGTCATGCCAGATGCGTATCTTCCAGATCTCGCCCAGGTTGGCCTCGGTCTCCAGCTGAAAATCATCCAGCGCGTTTCTCTGAAAGGCGCCCTCCCGCTGCAGGTGGCGTGACCCACTTTTGTTCAGCCCATACAGGCTGATCCCCACGTGAGCCGTGGTGCCTGTTGAGCAGGAGACTAATGACTCAGATACAGACTCTGGCCGGCATCATTATATTTACACCGTTTATTCGCATCACCACATTAGACACCTAGATACAGGGATAATGACCTTGTTCAACAGCACAACTGAATTTTTAGTCTTTTGAGATCTGGACTTGCATCTGTTTTGTATTTTCTGCCGAAATCACACGCCTTGTCCCACTGCCTTCTTGCAGAAATCAAGCAAGTCTGTATATATACTATGGTTCCCAAAAACAATGAAAATTCTCATTGTAGGACTCTGCACTGGTGATTAAAGCAAGGCTCGTGCATTTTCTTTTATGGAGAATAACATCATTCACAGCAATCTTCAATTTTTTTGGAATTCAAATTGAAAATAAATACGAATTATAACATTCAGACAGAGACATGACAGCCTTCATTTATGAATGATTCAATGGTGAAATGCATAGAATAGCAACATATTTTTGCACTGGTCAGTATGAAGTTCTCCATAAGACACTGTAGCAGTCACTGAGATCAAAGGCAGACCAACACGTTCCATCTATCCATCTTCCTATCACCGCCTCTCACAGCGTGTGACCCAAAACAGGGCGCACCCTGGATGGGATGCCAGTCCATCATAGGGCACACACACAACCGCATACTGCAGACAACTGAGAAATCACATGTCACTGAATTGTAGGAAGAAACTCAGAAGAGCATGCATGCAAGCACAGTTATGGCAGAAATCAAACCCACAATCCTGGAAGTGTGGCCACAGGGCTACTAACCATGGTATTTTCTACACACATCCAATGACTTCTGGTTTCACAGACTATAGCTGCTCCAACAACCCATGACCCAAAACAATTCAATGAGCATATTTACACATGTTCCTCACCAGATCCTCTATCCCAGCCAGTCTTGACTAGGACTCGATACTGGTACCGGCCCGGCTGTCCACAGAGCGGGACCGAGCTCAGGCGTGTGCTGTCCAGATGGTCCAGTTTGTGGGCAATCAGGCCAACGAGCATGTGCAGCAGCAGCAGAACCCCACACACGATTCCCACTACGACATTTCTCACCGGCCTTTCTGGCTGTCGGGGATGATTAGAGAACGACAGAAGATTACAGGACAAATCATTTTCATCTTTCAGAGAGGGTCTTAGCATCCAAACAGTACAATAAACAAATCATATTAAATTCTATTTTACTTCAACACTGTCACATATTGTTGTATATAGGAAAATCACTCAGTATTAATAATAATTTTATTCTTTATTCATTGGCCAAAATATAAAAAATATATAAATTCTTTGTCTTCCTTTGAATACTTTTACTTCTGCTGTCAGCACAGAATAAAATCACCACAGTGACATCAGCTGTGAAAAGATTTGCTGGGGCAACCAGGTTTACTGTAGGTCACTTTGGCCATGGACTAGGCTATTGAATTGTACTACTTGGAGGACTAAGACTGACACACACCGGTGGTAGCAGAATGACAGCTTCAGGGTGAACAAACATGCTGGCCCCAAACACAGTGAGATGCTGGGTGAGGCAATGCGCTACGCGGGGACTGCTGCCACCCAGTGGCCGGAGACCCTCACTGCTCCAGCGCCGCTGCTCAGTGCTGAAGTACTGGCACAGGGAGCTGAACACGCACACTGATGCCTGCATGGTGGCCCCGTTCACAGAACTGCTCATGCTCACAAAGAGCTCCTGGCCAGAGCCATTCTGCCTGTGGGCACACAGATAAATGGATACCAAGGAATGCCCAAATAGCACTCTGTACATTAAACCCTCTAGCAAGACACATATTATAACTATTATACAGTTTCTTAGCAGACATTATATTATAAGTTGTAATTTTATGGCACTTTCAAACTTTATTCCATTAGTGTAATATAATATTTGAGCAGTTTCGGTTAAGTACCCTGTCGAAACATTTTTCAGGAGCTTGAAGCAGCCCCATCTTAGTCACTGTCTGAATCATAACTCTGAAACTGAATGATGCTGGTCTGTGTAAGCTATAACTCAGAGGTCTCTCAAAGTGCACAAGTCAGAATATTCATAACACTGATGGTATCTAGTTTCTTTTATAATTTTCATCACTATATAGTGAGTCTTACAGGTTTTTGGAACTCATTAGACTAAAATAAAAATGCACAAATAGAAATAGAAAAAAAACCAAACACTATATGTTTGTATACCGTGACTTACAGAGGACTGAGAAAAATGGTCTCCTCCAGAGCTGGGTCTGCAGCACTGAGGCTGATGGACAGATTACGTACATGCTGGGAGATTGAGTGGATGGACTGATTGTCCACTGTGATGGTCACCTGACCGCTGCTCTGCTCACCGGTTCCTGCTCATCAACAAACAAACAAGGAAAACAAGAAATATCTCATTTAATAAGAGGGACTGATATCAAATAATGATGAAATTTAAAAAGTTTAAAAAAGGCTTGTTTAACCATCCATTCCTCGATCCATCCATTGTCCACCTTTCATCAGCTGCCCCAATTCTGTTAGATTTGTTAGGCTTGTGCTTTAACCTATGTGTTTAAATGCAGTAAAAAGAAGAAAAAAACAAAAGAGAGACTGTTACCTGAAAGAAGGCTGAAGTTAAAGGTGATGAAGAGGCCAGCTTTGGGATCCATGCTGGGAGGTTTCACTAAGAAGCGGACCGACCCTTTGGGTGGGAGAGGGAGATCCCCAACAGAGCCCTTCTGTTCCCTCATGTGTCCTTGACACCCAGCAGGGAGATGGTTCTGCAGCATGACACGGATGGCTCGGTCTGGCTGAAGGTCCTGGATGACAATGGATCTGCCCTGGAGTGTGGTGAACTCCATGGCCGCCAGCTTGGTTGAGATAGGTGGCTCAGCAGCTGAGACAAGGGGCCCTCCGCCATCGAGGTCCATGACGATTTGCACGACCTCCTCTCTCTCCACACGTAGCTGGCTTCCTAGGCCTCGTGGGATGTGAAATGAGCACGAAGAGGAGGGTTCGGTGCACAGCAGGTCTGCCGGGTCGCTACGCTGCCCCACGGCGCTGATCCTTGGGGCTGCCAGGGTCAGTGGCTCCTCACCTCGCATTCGAGAGCGCATCAAAGATTGCATCAAATCCCCTACCTGACCAAAGGCAAACACCGCAGTGTCTGAGGCGGCCAGGGACATGGACGCATTGGGGTGTGCAGAAGTGGCTGAGGACCCTGCATCTGCAGCAATTGCACTGCCTGAAACAAAACCGTCAAAGAGAATTCTGAGCAATTCCAGACATTCTACAACAAATATAGTCACATATACAGTATACTGTATAGTCACACTTTAACATTGGGCAAAAGATTATGTATAAAATGAATAACTTTTATTAGCTAATATGTTTAGATTCATATCTGAAATCCCATCCTTAAATATCATTTAAAAATAATTTATCCTTCTTCAAACCGAACAGCTGTAATCTGTAGTTCACAAAGATGGATATAACTGACTTTTATTTGTATATAACAGTTCTGACAGTACCAAGAACATGCAGAATACTTCGTCCAGCCTCAAGGGGTGTGATATCGCCTGCTTTAGTCTCTTCCCCGAGTGTGGTAATCATCTTCCCTGTGGCCTCCAGAACCTTCTCTTTGCATCCTTCACACACCAGGTCTCTGGGATCAGCCTGTTGAACGTATAATTGAGGTTGTCAGGCCTAACAATATTTTGTTACTACACAGACAAGGAACGTGTATGACGTGCAGCTTTGCAATCTGACAAATTTGTGTAGAATTATAGAGTCAAGTTAGGTTCTTTGCTTGATATAAATTCCAAGCCTTTAGTGACTTAGGCCTTAAATATATGTACATAATGACTATAGTACCTGAATGCAAAGTAGATAATAACAATATAATCTGTGTTTTTCCCTTGCTATTTCTAGCCTGGTGGGTGGGTTGTATGTTTTCTCTGAGGTCCCCTGAGAGTGTGCTAGCAACTTGGTATGACGCCCTTGCCAAAGTTGCCGTGTCACTGGATACCGCAGTAACTCACAGTGCACTGTGCCAGAGCCGAGCCGATTTGCACAGCATCCTGCAGCGAGGAGACAGGCAGGGAGGCCAGCATCCGTGTCATGTTCCCACGTATCATCACCCTGTCCTGGTGTTCCTGCTCACTCACATTTTCAATCTGGAATGTTACATGAGTAGCAACATTTGCATGCCTCTATTGAACTAGTAAACGAAAACACAAAAATGCATCCTGCAAACACACATACTTGGTTGAGCTGACTGGTTAGAGCTATGGTGTAAGGAATGACTTCTTGGGGGTTTCCATTTTGAAACAGAGCCCACAGCTCTGACTGACACTTGTTCCTCAGCCATTCTGTAGTACGTTGATCTCCCTTGGGTTCAAGAACGACCAAAGTCCTGTAAAAATGTGGAAAGGAAAGCAAACTGAGCAACAGTGGTGCAGTAGCTGACATTTGAGAAATCCCACTTGGCTGTACTATGCTATAGTACCTGTTCAGTGCAGTGATGACAGACCCCAGATCATCTTCTACCAACACTAATACATTGATAACAGACATTTTTTTCTCTCCTGGATCTGAGAAACCCAGAGGGACAAAGCTTCCATAGGTATTCCTGGTGCCCCGGTACAGAGTGTGGAAAAGGCATGGCTGCCCATAGTGCTGACATATCTCCACCTTCAGAGAGTAGATCAACTGAGTGGCCTCATCATCTCCATCTACCCATCCTGCCAATGAAAAATCGAGTAGCCATTAAGCAGGTCCAAGACTGACTCAGAGATGTTTCAGGAAAAAGTCTGTGCTACCTGAGCATTTGTAAGTCACCAAGGTTTCCAGCAGACGAACACTTGTATCTGGACTGAGTTTGCAGACTCCCCCACGAGGTGGAAGGTTTGGTAAAAGGATGAGACTGGCTGAGCCCCATAGGTTCAGGGAAGGCTGAGACACATTCAGTGTGAAGGTATAATTGGGTCCATCCAGCAGCACTCCTGATCTGATGACCAGGTCCGGGGAAGCTATCCCTGTGGATGTGGTGACTTCATTGAGGTCCAGCAAGTCACCATTCCAGCTCTCAGCTGACCACTGGTACAGTAGCTATGACATCAGTTGACAAGGTTATAAACGACATCATATGGCTATCAAATCAGTAGGTGAATATGAAAAGAAAACAACAAAATGTGTTGGCTTTTATTTCATTATATATTCAGCATTTAAATTTGGGAAATCATCTTGGTGTCAAACTATTTTTATATTATGAACAAATAAAGGGAAACAATATCTGTGGTGACAGGCGTACCTGCAAACTGCCATCGCAGGAGGAGCAAGAGCTGGACAGGACAATGGGGCGGTTGTAGCTGGAGCGGAAAGAAGAGGTGGAGCTGCAGGAAACACACGCCACACTCACAGAGAGCATGTGACCCACCTCCACCACCACCTGTGAAGGGCGGTAGGGGACAAAAATCAACTCAATCAGAGTGGAGCAAAATGCAGGTTTTTTTATTAGAAAGAGGTGGCTTTAAAAGGAAATTAAATCATGGATGGAAATCATCAAAAGGTTAATATTTGAGAAAATGTGTTAACTGCTCCCCCGAATATCCAGACTAAAATTGCACGTGTTAAAAATTCTCAAAAGAAATGTCATCTGCAGTCAACAAAAGCATAGCAAAGTAAATTATGGTATTTAAGATATGGGTTGGTGTGCAAGATTTGTTTTCTACGTACAGATTGGCTTGTGGAGACAGATGGCCTCCCTTGTTTGTAGACGGTGAGGATGAAGAGGTACACTCTTTCAGGGTGCAGCATCTTGTGAGATACCAGGACAGTACTGCTGTTACTCTGGGTTATGTTTGTATGGCAGGGTGAGACTGCTGGAGTCTAGAAGAAAAGAAGAAAATTGACCGTGGGGAGGCCATCAAAGAATGACAAATGACAAAGCAAGACAGTTGTTCGATATGTTCTGGAATTCTCATTTTGTATTATAATTTTGGTGGTGTAAGCATGGGCTGGAATCTTACTTGAACAATGCAATCCCACTGGTACTGTAGAGGGTTGCCATCCTCAGTCTCGTAATCTGGATCACGTGACTCAGTTCCATCCAAAAGAAGATCTCTGTTGCTTGACCAAATCCTGTGCGACCCTCCCTTAATCAGTGGGATCAGTGGACTGTGAACCACAGTTACTTTGATGCTTTGCTGCTGCTGCAGAGATGTTCCCTGAAGAACAGCAGTGAATCTCAGGCAGTAGGTACCCACAGCCAGGGCATGCTTGGGGAGCTTTAGCAGTGGCATGGTCATGTCCACTGTAGCACTCAGGGGAACTATGTCCTCTTCCTGGCACAATGGAGCAAAGAAGGCTTCCCACAAATAGCTTGTCTTGTATGCAACACAACCCTGAAGGTCCACATTAGCCTCGAAGTAGCTTGGCCTAGATCTGAGGATTATGGATTGTTTCTGAATCAAAGATACACGAGGTAAGGCACACTCCAGATTTCTGGCTTCAATGGGCAATTGTGTCACTACTTGGCTGATATTATTTAACACTGTCAACTGCACAACATACCTACCAGGAAAGTAATATGTGTGACTAACTATATTGGAATCAGTGATTATTGTTGCCTCATCAGAGTCACCAAATTCCCACTTGAATCTTAGACTGCTGCCATTATTAGTTATTGCAGAAAACACAACTACTTGACTAACAAAAATTGTTGCTGCTTTGTAAACAATCCTAGCATACTGCACAGGCCACTCTATGCTTACCCATTCACTTAAAGACTGTGAACAGAAGCCATTACTAGCCACAACATTTACAGTCAGTGTTCCATGTCCAATAGGGGTATAGACGACTTTTGGCCCTATTGCCCATGAGGGTTGAAATCCAGCTAGACTGAAATTCCAGCTGTAAATCATCGGCATTCTATTGAGGACCTCTGCCTCGAAGCTGATCTCTTTAAGGGACTCCAGAACAGAATGGCAGCAGTTGACCAGTCTCAGTCCCAGAATCTTTTCTACAACTTGTACGTTCGCAGTTACAACTGAGCTGCTTACATTATTCTGAGCTCTAGCTGTGATGGTGTGGTTACCTACTGGAAGGGAAGATACTGCAAAATGCTTTTCAATCAGACTGACAGATACATTTCCATTATCAATGTCCATATAAACATGAACATCACTTCCTGTTAAGATGGTCGGAATGAAAACAATGGGGTCATCAGTGCAAACTATGTGGCTGCTTACTTTCAAATTCAGTCCCTGGATTGCATCCTGAACATTTACTTTATGGGTAACCGTTTGCCAGCTGATGTTATTTGAGACATTGAGTAGCACGTGATAAGCCCCTGCAACCGAAAAGGAATGTAGAACTGATTGTGTGCTGCCAAAACGTGTTGGTCCTTTGTTCTCTGAGAAACATTCCCATTCCCAGGTTAAATAGTTTCCTTTCTCAACCGACGCAAAGAAAAGCAACTCGGAGTTTGAAGAGACAAAGAAAGGATTCATTTTATCATTAATCTTAAAAATTACATTCTGAATTTCCTCCTGTACTATAAGCAACTTAGTGGCTTCACTGTAGCCAATCATATTGCTTACTGATGCTTTGACTACAATAGGACCCAATGTACTAAAAACTTGTAGAAGTGAGGGCCCAGCTGATGATAAGGGAGATATACTGGAGCCCACATACCAGAAAAACTGGAGGTTGGTTCCTTTTCTCACACTGACTGAGATCTCTACAGGCTTACCAAGTGCCACAATATCTCTTGTAGTGGAAATCTGGACTCCAGAAACACGCTCCTCTGCCCTGAGCAAAACACTGCTTTTGACTTTCCCTAGGCGGTTGGAGACTGTCACCTCCACAAAAACGTCTCCAGGAGCTTCTGTAACCAGCTGGAAATGTTCTCCATTTTGTGTCGACCTGTTTTTTCCATTCACTAAAACCATCCAGAAGTAAGTTAAGTTGGAGCCCCCTGTAACTGTTGCAGACAAAATGACATTTTCCTGTGTTGGTAAATACTTCATAGAAATAAGACTCGTGCTTGTAATCTGAACCCCTTGAATCCTTTTCAGAACTTCAATTGAAACTGCAGCCTCCTGTTTGCTGACATTATTTTCGGCAGTCACATAGATACGATAGAGACCCACTCGTGGAAATACATATGCAAAGCTGGGTGTTCCAGTCACAACTGGGACAGAAGCATCAATCGACCAGTTGAAAGTAACATGCTTAATGACGTTAGTTACTGCTGTTATTACAACCTCTTCCCCCACTTCTACAATTGCCTTTTTGATTTGCAGCATCAGGTTTGACAAAGGAATCATCACCATCACTTCTATATTTGCAGAGTGCTGGCTGACTCCATTTATCGCAGTAGCTGTAATTTTAAACCCACCTTCAAGTTTGAAGGTATGAGAAATATTTTGACCTTGTTTTTTAGGGGTCTCATCTCCCATGTCCCATAAAACAGAAAAATCAGTTCTAGGGAAAGTTTCCACCCAGAAGAGGTAAGACTTGTTGATCACCATTGTGCCACAATGACCTGAAGTTTTCACAGTTGCATTGACAATTGGTTTTATAACAGCAACAAATGCTTTAGCCGTTTTTCTGCTCACATTGTTTCTTGCTTCCACTGAAACCTGGTAGTGACCATCTTTTTTGAATATGAAACAGTGATTAGCATGTCCTTGGACATAATCATTACAGCAGGAGCTGTTCCACAGAAATTGATAACTGTGAAGTTCATCCAGTTTTGGTTGAACAAAAGCACTGAAACACACTTCCTCATTCACTGCAACTGCATCTTTTGAAGAATTTACAGTTATGGCAGCGATGAACTCCTCCATGCATATATTTTTAGAATAAAAGGTAGATCCCACAGAGCTAAATGCAGTCACGTTTGCTTCATAATTCCCTGGAAGTTCATAAATGTGTGAGGCTGTGGAAATCCCTTGGATAACTGACACAGGAGTTCCATCCCCAAAATTCCAATAGAACATCAATTTGGCAGCATTTCCTGTCACTAATGTTGTAAAATAGGTCAGGTGTCCACTTTCCGAGCATCCAGTTGGTAGAATTCCATTAATATTCAGCTTGTAGACTTCAATACTGATTGTTTTGGAAGCCTGACTCACTGCATTTCTCACAGTTACTCTCACTGTATAATTCCCAGGCAACCTATAGGTATAGGCCATGGAGTTGTTAGAGATGTTTTCAAGCAAAGACCCATCACCCATGTCAAACGTCCACAGGAGACTGGTGCCAGATGATACGCTGCCTTCTATTACACTGATGGAGCCAAATTCATCTGGAGCACTAGAGCTGAGCTGGATACCAGAAATGTTCTCAACTATTTCCAAAGCCAGCCAGGTTGTAAGTTCTGAAAGGCTGTTGTTGGCTTTGACTGTAACATTGTACATGCCTGCTGCTCTCAGTATATGGCTGATTTTGGATTCCACTCCCTTCACTTCATGGGTGCTGCTGCCAAAGTTCCACGTATACAGAATTCCATAAGAGGACGGCCAAGGCAAAGCTTCCAGATGAAATGTTTGGTTGACAAGAGGGACGGACGGGGTAGCCGAAATCACCAGTTTAGCCAATGGACTCCGCACTTTTACCAACACAGCCTTCTCTATCCTTTCATATTGGTTGAAGACTTTGACGTTCAATTTGTAGTCACCTTAATGGGGAAATAATATACACAATAATAAGTGGATTGTACAAAACATTCTCACTTAACAGAGTTCAAAAACTATGCAAAACAAAGTAACTTTTGCAGTGTAACTGCACTGAATAGCAAACACATTCCAATTCTCTAGCTCTACACATGCATTTATTATTTAAAAAGTATGTCAAACTCAGAACAAATGGTAAAACTTTGCTTCACCTGGTTGTTGGTAGCTGTGGCTGATGGTATCCTGCAGATATGTCTGTCTCACCCCAGGCTCCAGCTGAGTCCCTCTGGGCTCAGAAGAGGAAGGATAAGAATGATTCACAGCCGGGCTGTTATCACCAAAATCCCACCTGTACAAACAGCATATATGGTATTATTACCATTCCTATAAATAGCACGCATACTGTGTATGTGGCAGATGCTCCTTTTGTACATAAAACAAGAAACTGGAGGTGTTTTCCAAATGCTACACAATATACATGCCTGAAGTTTACAGCACCTCCTACACTGAGTATCAAAATTCATTTTAAATTAGCAATATCGTTTGCTATGGCTATTGCATCACCGGTGTCCAACTAACCAGAATGCAGCTCCAAGGCAGGTGTCCACCTTGACCCTGAAGGTAAAAAACTGGAAGGTACTGACTGGGATTACTTCTCTAATGGAGAAGAAGGTGGGATGAGTCATGAGGAACACATTTTCCACTGTAAGCATCACCTCCACGGACTGGGAGCTCACAGGATTTTCTGCGACCACCTGGTACATGGCAGTTAGGGGGTGTTGTATCAGTTATGATAGTTTAGTTATATACCAGCAATATACCATTTCACCATGTAATTTGTTTATTAATAGACTTCAGACCCCCTCGACCTTGCATTGGACAAGTGGGTATAGAAAATAGATTGATGGAATTTGTTTATTATCAAAAAAGACAAATTATGTTACTTTTAGCTTTGTTTTCTACCCCCCTACAACCCACCGTCAATTTGAATTATTAAGTTGCCCCCCCCTCGCTCCATATCAAAGCCTCTCCTATGCCGTTGCTAATACCAGTGAGTCAGTTGCCTCGGGTAATAAGTTTTATGATGAAAAACGGTATCGGGGTCTTACTGTGAGCTTGTACTGTGCTGGCTTTTTGAAGACAACACTGTAAGTCTGTCCTTCATAAGCAAATTGCATAAGGTCGTCAATGACCCAGGTATACTTTACTGCGGAGCCACTTTCCACCGTCGCGTTGAAAACCTGCAGCGGGAGGCCAAGGGAAATGCATGTCAACAATAATGCAAACCGGTACAAAAATGATCAAGAGTAGCTATGGATTGCTTAGGTACATTGCAACGAGTGTAGCTTTAAACACAGCTTTAGGACATATTGAGGGATGCAAAAGTGATGGATAAAGACAAAACTGTTACACTCCAGAGGGAGCTTGCTTTTATATCCGTTTATGCCCATAATCTCACTTTCAATAAAAGCTACATCCAGTGCTTTGGATAAAAATGTGTCATGAACAGCAACGACGGAAGAAGCTGAGGGCTGTACCTGTGGGGCTCCCACCAATAATCTCTGGTCCCCATGTGGCAAAATGGTGAGTCCTCTCACCCGCTGGTGAGCCTGCAGTCGCACAGACACACTCTGGGAGCTGATGCGGTTAGACGCACTGACGTTAAGCATGTGGGATCCTGGCTCAGACAGCGCCAGGTAAGCGTGCGAGAACCACGTGTCAGCACTGTCTTTTTCGCAGACGTGGTGTGACTCTGTTGGTCCAGGGGGGCAGGAGGGCAGGAAGGGAATCCCGGTTTGGGAAATAGGGGCTGACCAGGAGCTGGTGGCATTTGATCCTGACTGTATTTTGATGATGAACAGTGTTGGGGTGTTGACAGGGATATGGATTTGCCCCCCTTGGTCTGGGGTGGGGTAGACAAGGTGGATTCCCAAAACTGGAGTCAGCGTCGGACCTACACCACCGTATATCCTGTCATTCCCCAAGCTGCCTGTGGTCTCCATGTGGATGGGACTCTGGCCCGTGCTGTGCATTGTGGAGGTGGTGTAACCGCTGAAGGCATCAGCGTAGAGCAGACGCAGGTCACACACCACCTCGTCGACCCACTGCGCCCCAGGAGGCATGGCCAAGAGGCCGCCTGCTATCCAGCCGCCCCACTCAGGCCCTGCCAGTGAAACGTAGCTCTGACGCCACGGGGAACTGGAGCTCCTCAAACAGTGCAGGAAGCCCCCAGGTGGCGCTGTGTGTTGGACGGCCAGGATGTCATCTGGATACACGTTAATCTCCCGCTCTGGGAGCATCACCTGGAACAGCAGGGTGTAGAATATCATCAACATAATATTATATGTTAGGCAGGTGATAACAAACACTGTAACAATTACAAGATAACAACCATTCAAGCACATAATAATCAACTAAATTATATTAATTCTTGCAGCAGGAGCATTGTGAAGCCTACTTTACGGGGGCTTTAGTCCCCCTAAAATGTTTTTTAGTCTCCCCCCCCAAATAAATGTGTATTTATTGGCTTAAGTCATTAATAGCTTTTTATATTATATATGTTTGCCATCGTAGTAAAAACTCCCCATCTATTCATCTCTAACTACGCCCCCTGCCTGGTAGTATACTAGACACAGAAACAAGCCTTTATTGGTTTAAGTTCCCAGAAACATCACTGGAACTACCTTTTACTTTGCATATCAGGCTGTATAATGCTGTGCAAAATAGTTTTTTTTGTATCAATAAGTAATAATATGGAGGAATACTTCAGGACTCTTTAAATATATGCACTATAGAATAGGATCCAGTGTGTACTCACATTGACATGGACAAGCTCAGAACTAGGTGACAAGTCTAGAGGGAAGTCAGCCACCTGGTGGTAGAAAGGGGTAGTAGCAGAGAGGCGAGGAGGCATGGAGAAGCCCCTGCCCTGTGATGCAGAGTAATAAGGGCTGCAGGGGCTAGTGACAGGCATACAGCTGTCCAACAGGTGGCACCAGTGCTGCCCAATGGCACAGCCTCCGGTTGTGTTACACAGGGGCTCCTGGAAGCAGCAGCTAAATGGGTTGTGAAGGGAGGCACAACCTGCAGGAAGAAGTGGGGAAATGGGTGGGTTTAAATAGAGCTGGAAAGTGCTCTCAGCTGAAGATTAGACTTCTCAAGGAAACATATTAGTCTAGAGTCAAGACATGGGTTCATTACTGTTAAATAAACTTCTAAAACAAAGATTGCAAGATGAAATCCCAGCAGCCTAATAGATAGCGTAGATATATAATCAGAATTGTATCTGGGCAATAGCACTGCTTATACATGCACTAGGTATTAATTAGATAACATTTCCATGATAATGAAATCAGTTCTTAAAAATCCCTGCCTCTAGTCCCACATCATAAAACATTCATCAGATAACCCACAGTGAGACGAGAATCATGCTTTGTGACACCAACAGCTGCAGCGCTTTAGCCTACCGGGAGGTACAAGGTGCTGGCTGGGACTGCAGTAGGGCCGGAAGATCTGTACTTTGGCATAGGTGTGGCGCTCACTCGGCTGCACAACCATTTCCACAGACAGCACTTGGCCAGCATGGCTGAACCAGAGCCCAGGGAATAGCATCATCTGGGAAGAACACAATAATGGTTGCAAGAAGGATTAAAAAGATGCATTTAAAACACAAATCACAATAACTTCCCTATATGTAAAAATGACTATATTTTTTGGAAGTTCTGGAAAAAAAAACAAGCAACACTTCCTTGGCAGAGGATGGGTTTGACCCATTGATTTGTGGGTTATGGGCCAAACATGCTTCTACCATACCAGATATACCATAATCAGTTGGAGCTGAACCTTCATGGGGATATAGCAGTGGATTTGCAGCCCACCGCCTCAAACACTCAGCCAGTAAAACAAGAGAATATTTCACTGAGATAAATTAATTGAACTCCGTAACAGAGGATGCTTTCAATCGATTGACCGCAGGATTAGGAGCCCAACACACATCTGCAGCACCACTCTACAATAACACTTTACAATAGTAAATTAAATTTTGATGAAGAACGAAACTCCTCAGCAGAAGACAGATTGGATTCATTAAGCATTGTCTTACAGACCCAGCACACTTCCACTGCACCACTCTACTCCCCCAAAAGACTGACCTACCGTAGTCAGTAGTATCTGAAACTAAGTGGGGAAATGACAGCAAATTTTACAGTGCTTCCATTAAAACTTCAGACAGATGCTAAAATTGTTCAGGAAAATTTAATCAAACACCTAAGCAGAGGATGGTTTCAAACCAAAGACTCAGCCATACCATAGTAAGTACTGTAGCAGTTGAACCTACATGGAGAAACGGTGGCCATTGACAGTAGGATCTGAACCGATGCAAGGATAGACCAGGCGCAGTAGCCCATTGCCTTAAACACTGAGTCATCAGACCAATATATTTTAATAACATAATTGAATCAAAAGACTTAGCAGAGAATGGTTTCGATCCATCGACCTCTGGGTTATGGGCCCAGCAC